AGTGTGAGCGGCCATCTGCTGAGGCCGACTGGGGTTCAAGGAGACAGAAGCAGAGATACAAAAAGCAGCTGTAAAAGGCGGCCCCGTCCAGGAAACACACAGCCTGGCAGATGAGCTCGGAGCCAGCTCCCATGTCAGAGGATGAAGAGAGCACATCCAGCCAGTCACAGTCAGAGAAACGGGACTAAGAGGCTCTGCTACCAGGAATAAAAGCTCCATCTCCCTCTATGATCCAACCGGGGTCCGAAAAGAGGATTGTTATCAGCAGGGACACCAAGAGTAATTCTGTTAAAAGGGTTTTGTCAAAATGTCACATTTTTGTTCACTAAATAATTGAGTTTTTTTCCCCCACTTTTCTTTTTTAAAATAAATTATAATCCAGTAATAATAATAGAATTTATTTAAAGCTTTTGTTACATAATCAGCCTTTAAAAAAAAAACATAAAATAAAGCATTTTACACCAAGCTTTCAAAATAATAGTGTCTGTTTTGTCTTTTTTGAGCCTGAAAATAACTTTTGCACCAGGTGTGATCAGCAGACATTAACTGTGTGGTACGCCGTCGCCATCTGCTGGAATACTTTCTTACGCATCCATCAACTTAGCAGCTTTAGCTCCCTTTTCAGTGAACTCCAACATTCATATTTTTTTTCTATGTGTTACTGATGTCTTATCCTTCCTTTTCACACTCGATCTTGGACTTTTCCACAGTCCTTTCATATCTCCACTGGGGAAATTGCTGCGTTGTTTAGTCATGGAGCACAAAATGGCCCCCGGTCACTTGGTCTTGTTAGGGTAAATTTTAAAAGTTTAATAACAAATGGAGGGAAAACAAAGTGTTAAACCTAAAAATAAGGCATAAATAAACCAACATGGTGCCATAATTTAACTGGAAAGTGTTTGTATGGAACCAAAATGCGCTACGGGAGCAGAAATTCATCATAGTCCATGACTAGGACACTTCAAGGACTTTTTTTCTAATCTTTACAGGGAATGGCAATAACAGCGGCCAGGACTGCGCGTTGTTATTTTCTCTAATGTCTACAGTAATTGAGCATCTGTAATCCTTGTTATTTTATGAGCTGTTTTAGAAAACGTACCGCTCTTTTAGTTTCATTCACTGGTAATGTGAACAAACAGGATAATGGTCGAATGTAACTGACTGCTTCTGAGATATTTTTGCTAACTGTTGTATTTAGATATCTGGTAACAAAGTTTGTTTTGGTTTCAGTTGCAATAAAGGAACCACAGCGGCCATGCAGTCCCTGGGAATATATTTGGCCCATGTTGTTTTACAGAAATCTTTATCATGCGTGCAAAAAAACAAGCTTTGAAAAAAAAACTAATCTAGTCTTGTCTTTCTAGATTGCAACCACAGAGCTCCTTGTATTTACAACCCGTCCCCTCTCTAAACTGCTTCAGACCGCACAAACTTACATTCTCCTCTTTGTTACCCCCCCCCGCCTGCCCAACTCAATCCATCGCTCATCCCTCTTCATCCTCTCAAACACAGACTACGAGCCACAATTGTAAACATACACACATGCACAAAGACCCCTAAGCTTAGCCCAAATCTCTACGATAGATCCAATAGTAAATGTTCACTGGTCAACAGCTCCTCTTTCCATCCTGTAATTACACATAGCTGTGGACTCTAATGGACGAGGTAGAGAGCAGAGCTGCGGTCTGCAATGCAAGACGGGTCTTAACCAGAGTTGTTTTGTCCTGTTCTTCTCATCCTGGCCACCACATTAGAACATTTTGGGTTATAATCAGAAGTTCCTCCAGTTTCCACCCTCAGGTCCTGCTCTGGATGAAAAGTTTCCTGTCAGCACCTTTTTCCTCTCCTCTGTCTTGCCTTAAGCTGTAGCCTCTGCCTTCCCTTTTCAGCACAATGGGTTCGGTTAACAAACTGCTGCTCGGGGTTATGGGGGCTGCCTCGCTGAAGCCAAGAAGAACTGGATGCTTCCCAGACAAAGAATAGATGCTATTACATTGTTTGGATGTCGTTCTTTTTTTTTTGAGTCTGGTCTATAATTGACCAATAAGGGATGAGGTATCCAATCGGATTATTTACTGCCATTTAGCTCTTTGTGTGATCTTTTTGAATCAGTGTTGGTAAAGCAAGCTGCATGTCATGAAAAAAATAAGATTCTCTAACGAAAGACAGATTCAGCCCACTTCAAGGATGGAGGGTAGATGTGGAGTTTAGCCCAAGGTCACAATGGGAACGGTTAGCTGCTGTCAGAAGACATCTTGTTTTATATGAAACTGAAGAGTATCGTCGAATTTGTTCTGCCATGATGTAAGTAAACAAGCTTCCAAGTCAGATTCCCAGAAACACACGCAGCAGTTTTATAGCTCTCATTTCAAACATCGACTTATCACAGCCCACATCGAGAGATCAACTGGAATCAGTTTATCCACTTTTATCATGGCGCAAAACAAAGAAGATGTATGTTTTGACTGAGAAATAAAACTGACGGCTCGGTTTTGTTTTGTTTTTTTCCTCAGGGAGGATAAGGATGCTTCACACTGCGCCATACCCATCTCCACCAGCCTGATCAAACAGATAGTGAACAAGACGGGGAATGAAGACAACCCAGAACACATCCTGGCTGATTTCTACGGTCCAAAGAGCACCACAGAGTCGCCATGGCCTTATGTTACAAAGGACCCTGACAGGTACTCACTGCTGAACCTTAGAGCTTTAGTTTAATCAGCAGAGAGCTGAATTAAAAACAAATGTTATCTCAACCATCTCTTTATATCTCTGGACTGGATGGGTTAGATGAGAACTTCATGTTTGTTGCACATTCAGAATTATTTTTGCTTAGAAAATTGGGGATCAGATTAATTCAATACATAGTCAGATGTAAGTAAACATGATTCACTTCTAGTTTAAATACAGTAGAGAGTCATATGATGATCTAATGCAATAGAGATTTAACACTACATGTGAACTTACCACAGAAAGGTGTAGCTTAGCCTAATAATACAGAAAGGCCTCCCAGCTATCGTCAGATTGATTTTTTAATTTCAATTCAGTTTATTTATGTGGCGCCAATTCACAACACGTCATCTCAAGGCCCTTTCCAGTTCACCAGATCATCCAGTCAAATGGATTCAAAGTTTTCTATCTCAGGAAAACCAGTTGATTGCATCGACTCATTGACTCGAATGCAATCCCTCACACTAAGCATGCTTGTAGCGACAGTGGAGAGGAAAAACTCCCTTTTAACAGGAAGAAACCTCCAGCAGAACCAGGCTCAGTGTGAGCGGCCATCTTGTGAGGCCGACTGGGGGTCAAGGAGACAGAAGCAGAGATATAAAAAGCAACTGTAAAAGGCGAGCCTGTCAAGGAAACACACAGCCAGGCAGACGAGCTCTGAGCCAGCTCCCATGTCAGAGGATGAAGAGAGCACATCCATCCAGTCACGGTCAGAGAAACAGGACTACACTGAAAAACAGGCCGAGGTCAAACATCTATAAGCAAAGGTGTTGATTGCAGCAGCACAGCTGATATTTCTCTCCAGGATGGAGTAACAGCCAAACAGGAATAGACGAGGCAAAGCTACTATGAGAAAAAGTAGAGAGAGCAGAACGTTAGAGATTTATAAAATGAGAGTCGGAAACAAAAAGTGGACATAAACAAAAAATATCAACGTAACCATTTCTCCACATAGAGGAGTAGCTATTTCTCTAAGGTGGAGTTAAGCCATGGATGTGATTGGAACATCTGAATTTATAGGTTTGCTGTGACTCTGACATTTACGACTAGATTATATCAGCAAAGATAACTATGAACCTGAAACAAGCTGAATAGAAAACGCCTTCATTTAACATGAAATGCAGGTCAGAGGATTCCCGCTATGGCTGTCTGAGCTTCTGCAGGTACAGCTGGGACAAAAAAAACCCAGAATGGATGACGTTTTATTTAAACAATGTTTTTATGTGTTAAAAATATTTTATTCGCTCAACTGACAACAAGAATAAATCTAACTATGTCTAAATCCTTCTCATTTTTTAAGCAACAAAAAAACAGATAAATTTTAGAAAATACATTTGTATTTTTTTTTTTACTGCTGACTGAATGTGCATTTTGAAACACAAACAAATGAAGGAGGAAAAAATGATGTATGTTTCTAGCTGGATTCCCACTCATCATTTCATTGGAGCAGACCACTTCAAGGCCTCATAACCCATCTAAGTCAACATCTATAATTCTTTTTCTGTTTTATTATAGTTCTTCTGTGGCATGCATTAAATCCCAGATTTCATAACACTTTTCAGAAAGACCCCTCCACTGTTTTCTTTTTCTATTTTTTTTTTTCAAATAACAAGATTCTTGTTGGATTCTTGCTAGAAAGTTGTGCAAGCCTGTCTTTAATGAGTGCAGCTTCTCTTTATTGGTTACTTTGTTCACATAATAAAACTGTTCAGTTGAACCTCAATGGAAGGCCGTGCATCAAAGCCGAGCAGCAATCCCGCTGTTGTCCCCGGAGATTCCGGCTGTCAAGTTTTTACAGACAAATCACACGGCCTAACGTTCAGTAGAGGTTCCTCGAGGTCTTTATACATGAACTTCAGTCTGCTTTCATCTTCTGCTTTTACGGCTGCTTGTAGCCTTGGGATGGCTCTGCATTTATAATGTATAGCGTCCACAAATGTCTCCCTGGAATCCATCTTTTGTCACAAAGCAGTCACATCTTGATGGCAGCGGTGGAAGAACCGACCACATGTTCGACTTCAGGCTTTGGACTCCAAAGAGTCCCAGAGGATCTGTTGGACATCTGAGCCTGTCTGCCTGTGCGGTTGCCTGAAATTCGATGCCTTTCACACACGCACACGCTTTCTCGTCTTGCTGTATGTTGTTGGGACCATGTGTTTACTTCCATTGACTTTCACTGATTTTCATTCATTTTCAATGCTTTCTATAAACCTGACAATAACCCTGAGCTGAAATCAGTTCACACCTCAATTAGAAAATAAACTAGACTCGTTACGTTAGCGAAGCAAAGCAGCATGGATGCACTGTATGCGTAGGTCATGCATAGTGCTTTTTAAATCAATCCAGATATTTACACCACAGGTGGATATAATTAGAAAAAGTACTTTTAGGAGTAGGTTTACTCTGCTGACTCCTTGGAACGACTATGAGCTGGTTGACTGACTCAGATTCAGTAGATATTCATAATAAAAACATCAAATAATTAAACTTTATTGTCCCATAATGGGGAAATTCACGCTCTGCATTTTAACCTATCCCCTTAGGGAGCAGTTGGCTGCCACGGTGCAGCGCCCAGGGAGCAGTGTGGGGTTAAGGGTCTTGCTCAGGGACCCAGAGTGGAGGCTGTGGGGATCGAACCGGGTACTTGAAACCTTCTGAGAGCACAAATACACTGCTCTAACCCACTAGGCCTCCCCTAGTTGAAGTTTGTTCCCTGTCCTAACATATATACAGTTCTTATTGTAGGGATTGGTTTTCTAAGTTTTATGTAAAAAAATAAAATTAAATTGTAAAAGTATTTTTCTGCATGAATTTATGATATTTTTTTGTATTTTTTGGGCATTTGAGTTTTTAAAATGGCAGAACTTGCACATAAAGTCTGTTTGCCAGCATCATTTATAAACATTTAATCGGATGTTATTATCCAACAGTTACTCAACACTAGGGCACTGGAAAAAATTGAAATCTAGATAAGTCTTTTTTTCTTAAAATAGGTGAATTTGTTCTTGGATTGTGGAGGTAAAAGAGACATTTTGCCAATGGGACGAGACAATTTACACTTAAAATAAGAAAACACAATTGCATTTTCTTATTTCAAGTGCATATTATCTAATTATTTTATTTTAAGAGTGAAAATACTAATTCCACTGGCAAACTATCTGATTTACCTACTCAAATTAAGGGTAAAAACACTTAATTTAAGATTTTTTTTTCCCATGGGTGACCAGATGTCCTCTTTTTCCCGGACATGTCCCGCTTTTCATACCTAAAAAAATGTCCAGGGGAAATTTCAAAATAGTCCGGTATCTTGGTCGACTACAGTGCAGCAGAACCGAGCCGTAAATTCAGCTGTGAAGTTGGTTTAAAGTTGGATATTCAAGCTCCGCGCAGTCAGCGGGATCGAGCAAACGGTTGATCCGTCTGAGGCACTCCGATGTCGGCCAGCGTCTCTCAGCTGCTCCCTCCTCCCACACGCGGTGGTGCAGTTAGGGACCGTCAACAAATCTTTGATCCAAGCACTCTTGAGAAACAAAAATCAATAAATTCCTTATCTTATGAGCAGCTAAGACGAAACTAATATTAAATCATGCCAATAGATAACATATGTAAGTTGCTTTTATGCAGTTTTAAGATATTTTCAATTTTTAAAGACAAAAGTTAGGACTTGTCTTCAATAGCTTCCAGGTCATGTGACCCTCTGACTCAACTAATTTGTGAAATAGTTTTACTACATTAGCCTGACTAGGCACATTCATTTGTATTCCATTTCAAGCCTTTGTATATTTTTGCCTTACTCTGCGGGGGGAAGCATACCGTCTGGTTTGGTCGCTCCGTCCCTCCGGCTGGTTCCGGACCGGGACCATCCCTGGAGCTGATGGCTCGGTTCGAATGCCCGGTCAGGTCCAGTAGTTTAGAGCTTTTTGCTTGAACAGGTAGAAAAAAAATGAGTTGGGCTTTTAGTAAAAATTGTATTTTAATGGTCATTAGGAGGTAAGAATTGTTAAATCTAGTTTGCTTCACCTTTATTAAACAAACTTGTATCAGTTGTTGGACTCCGGCTTCTCAAGCTGCTGACTTTTATGCATTTGGAAGCCTGAACCTCCAGTTTCGGGGTTTTGACAGAAGCAGTTGAGCACATTTCTTTCAATTACCTTCTTGTGAGCTGTGTAATGTGATTTATGATCCCTGCACTTTTCTGTCCTCAGCTTTGAGGTCAACCACTTATTTAACCACACACAGCAACATAAATAGCAGTAAACGGTAAAGAAAAGCTGTTCCCAGTTTAGGTCCCGTGTCACAGCAGAGAGTCTTTGAGGTGTGTGACAAGTTTGAGTTGGCAGGTTGGTAGCTTGAGCCAATTCCAGGTGGTCCTGTGGGAGAAGGACTGGATCGTATTTATTGGCTTTGAACTTAAGAGGAATTCTGTGGGAAATGTTTGTTTGGCTCTCCTCTAACATTCAGCAATATTTAGGAGTCGTGAGACCACGCTTACTTTGAAATGGCCGCTGTGTCTGTGAATTGTTGGGAAAAGGATTGTGTGTTTCTGTCTGGCTGGCTTCGTGTCGCTGTCCCGGCCGAGTGTGAGCCCAGATGCTTCGTCAACTCTTCTCTGAATCTGTTTGAGTCACATCACTTGTTGACAGGCCGTTTCTCTCCGCGTATTTGTTCCGTCTTTGTGACTGCTGTCGGTTCATTAATGGTCTGTCAGTGTGAAAATTATTTATATCAAACATGTTTAAATCTGTTAATAGAGCCTTGTGTTTTCTATGCGTAATAAAGGTTGGGTGCCAAATAGATTTAGGTTTATGAGTCAATCAGGATGTCCATAAAAATCAAGCTCAGTAATAAAAGTTTTTTCTGCATCTTTGATTTTTTTTATGTCTTGTAATCAATATTCCTCCAAATCAAGCTGCTTTGCCTTTTTTTCCTCCATCAGGACAAATAAAATAAAATTCATTGAAGGTTCATTCATTCATTAACACCAGACCGTTTCTATTTCTGTCCCTCTATCTTTTATTTCTTAATTTCATTCATTTTACAACCAAATGCGTTTCTCCTCTGTTTCTAAAGTCCTTCTGCTCTGACAGGTCAGGGCTGGAGCCTCTTTCTCAGTGGGACAGCCCCATGCAGGTGAAACTGTCCCGCTGGAAATCTGGTCTGAACACTCTGCTGGTGGAGCTCCTGCCGTGGGCTCTCATGGTTAATGACTCCCAGTGGGACCTGTGGCTTTTTGAGGGAGAGACCATCGTACTGCAGATACCAGCCGGCAAAGTCATCGTACCACCAAACTTTAAGGTAGGATTCATTTGGAAATATGTTCAATCTGTTAAAAACTTCTTTTAAAGAGGAGCCTTAAAGGGGTCAGAATGCAAAACCGAGTTTACCTTGTCGTAGATGAATAATGAGTGGTTGAAATGGACATACAGTTCAAGTTCAAACCCCATCGACTCCTCCTTTCTCTGCAAATCTCACAATTCTAAACTTCAACCCCAAAACAGGCGAATTCAAACGAAGCACCAAGTTGACGTAAAGTAGGGCGTGTAGTTTTGTCAACTCCTGAAATTAACATACAGACCAGCCCACTGGTTCACGGCCCAAGAAAATGAACAGAGGTAGATGTAAGAGACCAGTTTAGCTGTTTAGCCTACAGTTGGGTTAACTTCTAAAAGAATTACAAAGCAGGACGTTTCTCTATTGAAAATGAGTCAGAGCCACTGGCTTAAATGCCGTGTTCCAGGCTGCACGGAGAAAGGGGAACATTATCACAATTTTCCCAAGGATCTAAAGACTCAACATGCATTCATTATTTTTGTGCATCAGAAGATCCCTGCCAAGTTTGATGCTCAGCTGTTCATTTGCATTTTACTGAAGACGGCTTTCAAAATCTTGAACAGTTCAAAGCAGGAATTGCTAAACTTCTTTAACTGAAACGAGGGGCTGGTCCCACTGTAAGGCCATCACAACCGCAAGCTGGAAGTATGATTAGGTCACTAAGCTGTTGATAGCAATGCTAGCATATCAGCAATTTTATGTTTCAGTGAGTGAGTGCTTGTTGCTATGATGCGTCTTTGCTCAGCAGCTTCGCTCGTTGTAAACCAACCAATCAGAGTACAGCTCATCTAAATATTCATGAGCATACCATAAAACGAAGAAAACCTGTTCTTTCATTGTGGGGCTTTTAACCAGGCTTGCATTAGGGCTCACAGAGCAGCAAATATGCCATTTTCAGCCCAACCAATGTTACACACCCTATTCAGAGACCTTAAAGGGATAGTTCGGTATTTTTGACATGAATCTGTATGGCATCCCCATCACCAG